CAACAAACTTGTTTTGTGATTACTGCTGGAAAGTTGTGACAAAGCATTCAGAAGGGAAAAATGGACAATTTCATGCAAAGGCACTAACAGGAGTGAGTTGAAAATGGTAAAAAGCAATAAATAGGAGAACAGGGTGTTTCTTATTCCCATAATAGATCAAGCAACTTCATCCCCAGCCAACAATTTGATGATGAATACGCACTGCCACAGTGGCTGCATTGAAATTGCATTTCTTAGGAAACACTTTTCACAAATCTGTTTCACGTAAAATATATTTCCAAGGGAATGGATTGATCTTGTGAATAGGGCTTAGTTAAGTTAATTTTGAGACTTAAAATGCATGGTGGGATTCCAAGGACAGTCAGAGCCATGGCTTTCTCTTCAATATTATCTGCAGAGCAGTGCCAGACACTTCTGAAACAGGACTTAGGTTCATCAGCAGAGAAAAACACATGCAGGCACTGGGGTTAATGCTCTTAATCAGAAACATGTCCTGTAGCAAACAGGTGTATCTTAAATTGCAAAATCAGCATGTTGACATTCAGTTGAGACTTGGCTCTTAGATGAATTTCCAGTAGGCAAGGAAAGCAGCAAAATCTTAACAAAGATGCTGATTCTCTGCCTTAGTTTCTAGTTAACAGCCTGAGCCTGTAAAATCTACTAGATTGTAATAGTTTTTTTTACAATATGTGCCTGGGTTGTTAGAGGGTTTGAGCACTGGAAGTATGAATCTCCAGATTTTTAAACTTTCCAGGGTTTTTTATAACACTGCCTAACACATATTGCAGACTTTAAAGGGGTGCTTGAAAATAGCATAGGCTGAAAAGTATGCTGTTAGGTGATGTCAAGTCACAGGGAAGACTACTGGAATGCAGTCTGGTAAATCACCCCAACATCAGGTGTGGGTACCCTGTACAAACAGGCAGAGCTGTAAGAGATGTTTGATCTGGCAGAAAGGTTTTTTATAAGTAAGGGGCTGGAGCGTCAGATGGAGATGGAAGGAATTTCAAAACTGGAATTCCCCTCCAGAAAAAGAAGGAAAATTTTAACCAAGCTCAGGAAGATTCTTAGTCATATCATTGACATGTGACTCATATAGAAGAGGAGAGACACACACAGCAGTGAGTTTGGAGAATTCCAAATTCTAAGTTCTACCTTAATTCCATTTAAGGCAGAACTAGCATGCGGTGATTTGTGGTCTCTGTAACTGAAGCCCTGCCATTATAGTAAGTAAGAGGGATATCAGCAACAGAGTGGAAAGCCAGCGTGAGGAGCAGAACACGCACAACGCCACACCACCAGTCCTCCTGCGCAACTGGGTGCTTAACACTTCCTTGTGAATGGAATGGAAATTATTTGGAACAATTGGTATAATGAAATAAGGATCTCTAAGCTGACACCACTGGTTTATATCACCTGGGCAGAGGTATGGTGCAACAAAGCCTGATCCTGTATCACTGAACTCAGTAGGAGTGTTTAAATTTAGTTCAGTGAATACAGGTAGTGGGAGGGAAGGTTCCTAGAGCCCTAGGAGCCTAAATCCATCCAGATTTTCAGTATTACTAGTGCAGGGGTGTTGGAGAAGAACAGAGGGTCCCACTCCTTCACATGTGGTCAAGTTGTCCTGGACATTCAGATTATCTCTGAACCTAATCTGAGATGGGAGGAAAACAGACGGTGTTGTGTGTCACTTCAGACACATTCCCCCAGAAAATGTACTAACAAGGCAGGTTATAATATTTGCAACTGTAGTGACATGAACAAATCTTTTGAGCTTCAGTTCATTATGCATTTATAGCTTCAGGGCTTTCTATTCTGTATAGGTGTGCTTACATTTGTACAGGATGAAAAGTACAAGATGAAAATTAAATGAGTTGTTTATGTCACTAAACCAGAACATGTTGTCCCTGACAGGTGAAAGAATGTTCTCTGCTACGTCTTGCCAAACCGCACAACTACTGCTTTTTCGTGTCGAATTATCTGATTGTGTGTTACTTCTCTGCACGTATCTTCTTTATCTCCCTGGCAGACATCTTTGCAATTCTATTAGTATTAACATAAATTCACATTGTCTTGCACAAATGGTTTCTATGGAATGTGTGTGGTGCTTTTGTTTTTCTTGATAACCTATAAACATTGGCAACTGGGGTGACTTATATGTTAAACCCTTACATTTGAGTTGTAATCAGATTATATAGGGAAATTGTACTGGTAATTGCTCTCCTGTTTATAGCTTCAAGGAATAATATTATAAATATATCCACTTTATTTTAGAACATTTGAAAGGGTTTTTTGGTGTGGGTATGTCAAACTTTAGATTTGCTAAACAATACTATTTTGATCAAACTCCATTTATGCTGACAGGAATTTCTAACCGTCAGGAACAAGGAACACAGCCTTGCATTTGTCTTTGTAAATAAACAATAGGAATTCATTTGCATAACCTATAAACCAATGAAATGGAAGGGGAATGTTTTATTAATACCCTGACTGCTGTGTCTTTATAAAAAGTCTTAATCATACAATCTGAAGACTTGGAAAGAGGAACTCATGAGTGCCAAAAAACATTAATTACGGCTGTAATGATGTCCATTTTCCCTTGCTCCTGTGTGACTGGAAGCTCCATTGTTTTTCTCTGCTCCTTCTCTGATAGCCTCTGGCCAGAAACTTTGGTCCCTCTGTCTCTTATTCCTCTTATCCCTGAGTCAGTTCATATTTATCCAGTCTTTTTCCGAGCCTCTACCCATCTTCTTAATAGCTACTCTGGTGTCTCATGTTCAGAGTTCTTCCTCAGACCTCATCATCAGCTTTCCCTTGTCCTCCACATTTCAAGCTGTTAAAATAATGCTTTATTTATTGTACTGAATTCTACCTGGGTAATTCTACCAAGCCAACTCCTGTTAGTTGTTTTATGCTATTCTGAATTACAGTCATGGTCTTCCAAGCTGTAAAATAAATGGTCAGAAGAGTGAATAGGGCAAAAAGATAACATTCCAGATCAAACCAAACTTGTTTTTTCCTTATTATAAACCATAATCTGAGATTTTTTGTAACCATTATATGAGAAAGTTGAATAAAAGCACAGTCGTTGTGTACATAACATATCTGGGCACCCTTTCCAGTGGACAATTGATCATTCTGAGGCTGTTGGCGATTTTTGGACTCATTTGACCATTAACTTTAAAAATAAAATCAACTAGAAAAGCTAAACGCCAAGAATTGTTGTTTTGTTTTGTCTTTTTTTTGTGTGGTTGGTTTTAATCAACCCCTTACATTTTTTGTTTGCCTGGATTTGCAAATAGACCAGAAAAGCAAAGGAGGAAGATTCGTTTTGTCACCAGGAAGGATTCAAGATTTGTTTGAACTGCTATGTTCAATGTTTACCCAGTTTATTTGGCCTGCTTTGCAATTAATTGTTGTTGCAATTGTAGCAGCATAGCTGGAGCACGTAGCAGTTCCATACCTTTGTACCATCAGCAAAATAAGGACTGATTTTAACTGCAAATTTTCCAGTCCTAAAGCATGTGACTGAATGAAGTCGCAGCTTTGTTTGTGTAGGAATCTGATAATAATTCATACCAGAAACGGATGTGTCTAACGGCCAAGTTTGCATGCGGGACAAGTGTTGGCTTGTGTGCTTCAAAGGAGCTTGCTCGCAAAAAACTCTGGGAGAATTTGTGAAACCTCAGATGTACTAGGGTTTGTACTGAGGGCCACAAGGTTGATCAGGGGGCTGGAGCACCTCCTGTATGAAGACAGGCTGAGAAAGTTGGGGCTGTTCAGCCTGGAGAAGAGAAGGCTGCGTGGAGACCTCATAGCAGCCTTCCTGTATCTGAAGGGGGCCTATAGGGATGCTGGGGATGGACTCTTCATTAGGGACTGTAGTGATAGGACAAGGGGTAATGGGTTAAAACTTAAACAGGGGAAGTTCAGGTTAGATAAAAGGAAGAAGTTCTTTACTGTAAGGGTGGTGAGGCACTGGAATGGGTTGCCCAGGGAAGTTGTGAATGCTCCATCCCTGGTGGTGTTCAAGGTCAGGTTGTACAGAGCCTTGGGTGGCATGGTTTAGTGTGAGGTGCCCCTGCCCATGGCGGGAGAAACTAGATGACCTTGAGGTCCTTTCCAACCCAAACCACTCTGATTTTATGATTCTAAACAGTAAATTTCTGTAAAGGTTCTGGCTGATTTATTGGTTAGGGTTAGGTTTTGTTTTAAAGTCTAGAAACAACTTAAAAGCCTGACGATGTGCTTCAAGACTAAATAAAACTGGAGGTTGAGACAGCTCAAGCATTACTAGAGCACTGTGTATGGCAACAGCATCCTGCTGGTGCTCAGGGCAGGTGAAAATCCAGCACCTTAGCTGTGGCTACTCTTGCGTTCGTGGGATTTCCAGTCCTGTAACTGGAGTTTCTGTAACTGGTGGAGTTTCAACGCAGGTAGAAGTGTGAGTGTAGGCGAGATTGATTTTTTTAAAGTGGTCATGGAGTTTCCAATAGTTAATGATGTTTAGGAGAATATTTTTTCAAATCAAGGGCTTTTTTAAAACTAAACGAAGCAAACTGCGAGCAGCTCTCGTTCCCCCAAAGGTCCAGCCATGGCAGCCCTTGGCAAACACACCTCACGCCTGCCTGCCGTTGCCAGGGTGGACCTTGGCATCGTGTTGTGGCTTCTTCATCACTCCTGCTCCCGGTGAGCCCCTAGAGGGCAGAGCCCGATCCGCCCCACCTCGCTCGAGGCGCCAGCTCGCCCGACCGCCGCCTCGCACAGCACCACCCCGCCCTCGCCGCGGCCCGAGCCATTGCCCCCGGCCTGGAGGAGGGCTGCTGGCGGGGGGCGCGGGCAGACGGAGCCCCCCCGCCAAAGTACGGAGGCTGGCGGCGTCCTCCCCGAGCCCAGCGGTCCCCACCGCGGCAGGTGGGTCTGTGGGCGGTGTGTCCGGCAAGGCCGGGGCTCGGCTCGGCTCTGCTCGGCTCTGCTGAGCCCGGCCCGGCCGGGCAGCGGGGCCCTCTCGCTGCCGGTAAGGGTAAGTGCGGACCGGGCGGGGGGGCAGGGGGGGCGTCATGGTTCTGCTCCCCTGCCCAGCGAGGGTAACTGTGGCCTGGTAGCGGGGCTCCGGCGCCCAGGCTGCCCCCTCAGGCCCGGCGGCAGCGCGGAGGTCGCCTTTACCCGCCTCGTCCGGCGCCTCCATCCCCAGAGGTTCGCTTCTAGCGACTTTCCAGAGGGTTTAGTCTTACACGTGTTGGACGCTTCGAATACGGAACCCGGCAGAGCAGCTGGGAGCCCCGCTCAGTGTGTGATGGGAAAAAGATAGGGAAAATGTGGATGCCGCTAGACCCGCTGCCTTGGCCTTCCTGGCTGTAAAGTCTGATTTAGTTTCCCAGTGTCCTCTCTAGTTCCCACTCTGTTGTTGGAAACCTGCAGTCTTCTTACCTTTATTGCTATTGTATTGTACTTGGATAATGGTAACTTGTGTTGTGGGAGTCTGTCTGCATCCATCATACAGATGCTTTCGGAAGAGAGAGTTGGACATCCCTTTGCACAGATAATGTGCACAAGAAGCACCTGTTTGCCTTCCAATGCTTCTGATGGTCTTACTTGAACTGGTGTGCTGACTGTGAGTTGTCCTGATTCCTGTCATCAGTTTTGTGGATTGTGACTTGGGATTAGAAGTGGGGAGAGATTTTCTTGTGTGTTTTGCCTGCTTTCCCAAGCAGCATTGTCCTGAGAGAGGTGCTTGCTGTTCACAACACAAACTCTAGGTGCTGTGGAGAACCGCTGTGCAGTAGCAGTGTTCTAGGCACAGGTGTCTGAAGTTCCCTTCTTCTGCATACCCTATTACTAGTCTTGCAAATCAGATCAAGTTTAAGGAAAACCGTGTGGAAGTATATTGGCAAGAACTTGGAAACCTTATTGCAACAGCAAGTTTCTGCTTTGTAGGTGAAGCAGTTGGACTTCCAGTCAGCCAGATCACTGAGATTTAGCGTTTCTAGGACACAGAAATAGTATAAACTTTATCTGTCTCCACATTTGTTCTTCATCTCTCTTCACTGACCCTCAAACACAAGAAATTCATTTTTCATTTGAAGATTTTCTTAACTAAACAGTGGAAAAAATCTGAAGTTCAAAGGCCATTCTGTTCTAAGAAAATGATGGCCTCCTTAGAACCTTTGGGATTTTTTCCCCTAACTTAGTAATCTGCTTGAGATCCAGCTCATTTCTTGTATAGACAAAGGCAGGGCCTCTTCTTTCTTCTCTCAGCTGAGCTTCTTATTAATCCAGCTGAGTATTCTCTTCCTGGCACAGAGTTCAGTAATCCAAGCTGTGATTTACAGTGTTGCAGCCAGTGTCCGCACAGGGCAGAACACTGTGGTCTCGTATTGATTAACATGACAGTTGTCTTTTGGGAAAGTGTATTCATCAAATAACTTAATAGCAGTGTGTCTTGTGGGTCAGCAAAGAAGTCATAAACAGTAAACCCTACAAGGTTTAAAAGTCTGGGCACCACGAACATTGGTTCACTTGCTACATGTTCTAAAAAGGAATAGTTTGTGTTCAGCTGGAGAAAGGATTTGAGTTTCAGGTCCCTGTTAGATGCTGTCCTTGTTTCTGTGAAATGATATACATGTCTTCTGGTCAAATTAGCGTAAAAGATCCTGAAAGCATTTGTGTTTGGTTTTTTTTTCCCTTTCTAAGCACAAAAGCTTCAGTTTGGTTTAGGTAATGTGGTGCTTTAGTGAATAACAGTGCTGTGTTTTGATAGTGCTGCTTTTTCTGTTGCAATACAGCTTAATAAAATAAATTTATGTTTGCTCCATGGATCCATCCGTGCTGTATCTAACACTAGGGTTATTGTAGCTTAACTCCCACCAGAAACAGCCATTTGAGATCCAGAATGTCTGTAAAGACACAATAAAAGTTGCTTCTACAGGGTTAGCAGCTTCGTTTTGGGGAGCAAATCCTAGGAAAGAAGATGTGGCCTCTTCCAGATGGGCTGCCAGAACTCAGGAAGCAATACTTGTCAGTTGCCTGGAGCATGCTGTGCTGGGCGAGCACTGACTTGGGCTGGTCTTGGAGGGGGGAGGAGTGGGTTGAGTGTCATCTGTGTTTGGGAAAGGGAGCTTGAACAGGGGAATGCTGGCACAGCATGGGGCTTTCCATGGCTGCCTATTCTACCTCTGGGGAAGATAGGTTTTATTTTATTGTATATGCAAAATGTGTAGAAAATGTAAGTAACACAGATAAGCATATGGAGGATTAGATAATGCCTTCAGAGATGTCAGAATGGATTTCCTGCATTTAAAATTGTGCTGTTTAGGTAACATAGTAATTACTTTAACACCTATGGGATCTCTGTTACTCACTTTTAGGAACAGTTATGTAGTTTAGTGGATAAGCATGTGGAATTCTCTGCAACCCTTTTCAAGATGTTGGTCTTTGGAAGAGACAGTGGCTGCTTTGAAATTTCTGTAGTGGCTTTATTGAAGGAGAATTCCTAGTAAGAGATACTCTGCTTCTTTTTAGACACAAAGAATCAAATCTCTGCATATAGTCTGTTTAGGATCATTTATTAAAGCAGTTGCCTCTTGGAAATAAGTAACCAGTCTTTGTGTCTGCATTAGTGGAAATAAGCTAAGAAAACTATATATAAATACTATATGTAAGATGATAGACATATAGAAGGTACAGATGATATATGTAATAGAGCCTAAAAAAAACAAAAATTCTATTTAAGACTTGAAAATTAGGGGAAAAGTGTATTCTAGTGAAAGAAAATGTCATAATTAAGTACAAACTTTGTTTTTTGCAGAGGCAGCAGGATTGTGACTTGCACAATCAGCAACGGGAAAAATGACTGAGCCTAATAATAACTTGTCTTTACATGAGGATGTTATAAATGGTACTTCAGACTTGAGTGAAGTGAAAAAGCCAGATGAAAAAGAATCTGTTGTAAAAAGAACAATGACTCTGATTGAGAAGAATGGCTGTCACGACACCATATACATGAACGCAGCTAAGATTTTTCAAGGCATTCATACTGAAAAGGCTAAGGATAGAATGCTGGTGCGGTATGTGGGTGACTCAGCACCTCCCGCGCTGGCTTTTAAAGATGTGTCTTCCCAGCGTCTGTCTTATGAACTGGCTTTCAATGCTCTAAAATGTGAGTACAAAAATTCTCAAAGAATTGCCAACACAAACGATGCAGCAGAGAAAATATGGCAGAATGGTGTTTAGTTTCTGCCCGACAGCATAGATCTTTTGTTAAAGATTTGTTTAACCACAGGTTTCTGTTACTAGACTACTCATATCCCTCAAACATTTAAATATCTCCAAGTATCACTAGCATTTGTGAAACCAAACGTTGAAACTCTGTATCTTTCAGTGGAAAAGAATTACACGTATTTGGAGTTGCTACTGTTTGTGATTGAATTTGCCCTTAATTTTCATGATGTTTAAACTTTCAGCTATTCATTTAATGATTTTTAATTTTTTCTTTTCCTTCCATAGAATTTTGCAGATTTCATAGCATAACTTGTCAATATTTTCTTTTTTTGCAGATCAAGATCTTCTTGAAGAAATTCTGTTAGATAGTTGTGTCTACCCATGCCGTTCAATAGTAAGTGAACTTTTTTGTGAAGAAATATTTTTTAATGTAATTAGAATATTTTTTGAGAATTCTGCAAAATTCTTCAAACCACTTGTTTTGAGCTATATGGCAGCCTCTGAAATATTGCTGAGCCTGACTGAAATATTGCTGCTGTTGTTGTCTAAAGAATCCATCTCCAAGGTACTAGATATGTTGTTCGAGTTTCTTGTTGCACCGTACTGCTTTGAATGGAGCAGCTCTGTGGAAAGAGACCTGGGGCTCCCGGTGGACAAGCAGCTCAATATGTGTGAACAGTGTGTAGCTGCAGCAGAGAAAACCAACAGGCTATATTAACAAGGGCAACACCAGCAGAGATAAAGGAGTTGTTATCCTGCTGTACTCAGTGCTTGTCAGGCCACAGCTGGAATACTGTTCAGATTAGGCCCCTGCTATATAAAAAATATGTGGACAGGCTGGAGAAGGGTCCACAGAAAGGCCACAAAGATGGTGAAAGAACTGGGAAGCTGTATGAGGGTTTCATTCAGCCTTGAGGAAAGAAGGTTCCAACCTTCCAACATGACTATGTTGGAGCATTTAAAGGAACCATTGGGTAATGGGTACAAGTTAATCCTGGGGAGATTCCAGTTGGACACAAGAGGAAAATTTTTCACAATCAGCTGTAGGAATAATCTCCCCAGGGATGTGGGTTCCCCAATACTGGGAACTTTCAAGATTCAGCTGGACAAGGGACTTGTCTAGAACCTGCTTTTGCCAAGAAGGGTTGGACCAGATGACCCTTGAGGTCCCTTCCAAGCTGGTATTCTGTGATTCTTCAAAGAAAGAAGGTAGGAGAGTGAACCATAATGCTACTGCACTGTAATACTTGCTAACTAATGTTGACCATGAGCCAGTGCATGTCCACGTGCTTTCATTCCCAGCTGTGTCCCCTTATGAGTGGTGAAGAAAGTCATGTTCCCTTCCTGTCCCTGGGAGTTGGAAAGCATGGAGTGAACCCCATCAGACAAAATAATGCATTGAACCCATGTTTCATTTCCCAGACAATGTACTGAATGCGAATATTGTACTGACAAAAAATTGGTCCAGTTTACTCTCCCAATGTGCTTTCCTGCTTTGACATGAAAAGAAAATCTAGAGTTCAGTTTAGTCTTCGACGCCTTTGAAAATTACAAGGTGTTATTTGTGGAGATCGAGCAGGCAAATGATCTAACACATGTGATTTTTGGATTGTTTTTGTAAGGAAGTAAGGTAACATTTTTTTGTGGTATTCCCTTGAGTTTCCTGACTAATTTCAGTCCTATTTGTGAGAGGGTAGGAATTTTTGTAGGCATTTTGTAGGAATTTCATGAAAAGAGGTAGACAAGAGTAAGTTAACTGCCGAGAATTACTGTCCCTAACAGAGAAGATGCGCCCTGCTTTAAACATTTAGACATGGGAAGGAGATTTTACTTATGTCTCAATTGCAGAATGATTGTTATAGCTGAGCTTATCGGTTGTTACACGCTGAACAGTCCCACAAGAGAGAAATTGATAGGCAAACGCTTTTGTTAGCGTACCTATGCAAGGAACTGCTATAGGAGAAAATAATTTCAAGGTTTAAATTCTGGTAACATTAAAAGCTATTAAGATAGGGTATATTATCTGTGTGTATGCAGAATGTTTTAATTTAGATAAGCTAAATGACTTTTAAATTGTATATTTGAGTTTTTAAAAACCCTCAAATTTCAGTGTTTCACTAACTCTCGATAGGAATTATACTTAGAAATCAGAGTTTTATTGGAGTTTTTATTCTGCTGCTAACATGGGAGACTGCTGTTTGATATGGAACTTGTTGCAGAAGTATGGCATGCTTTGTGTCACTTTATCCAGTTGCTTTTCTGTTGCAGCCAGATGAATTAACCAGCTTGCTTGTTGTGATGCTTTATGACCTACAAGACCGAAAGTTTCAAGCACGAGAGATTTCTGATGAAGATGAACCTGTAGCAGACGTTCGGAAAATAGAGCGTTATCTATACAGGTATAAATCCAATAACATCTTTTTGTTGATATATATTAGCAAAAATACAGACTTGTATAACCAGTACCTTTGTTAAAATAATTATTGCAGAGGTCTTTGATCTTAATTCTTACAGAGGTCTCTTATCTTCAAATTTTGCAGGTTTTGTTTTTATTTTTAATGAGAACCTAGTTTGGAGAGAAACTTTCATGTTCCAATAGTTAAGAAAAAAGTAGCTAACAGTCTTTCTGTTGTGGATTACTTTGCTAGGATCTTATTTGGGAGTTGCTGAATTTTTTTTAGACAACTGTAGAAAAGAAATTAAATAGTAAACATTCACAACTATGTAACAGTCTCATCATGGAATGGAATAACATCCATTTGTTTAGCAAAACTTCTATTATGAAACTTTGTTCTAATCATCTATAATAATAAATATTTATCAAAAAAGGATATATATGAAATAAGCATTTTAAGTAGTGTTCAAGTATTTCTTTCAGTCTGTTGATAAACTCAACAGACATTTGGATAGAATTGTGTTGCCTCTGAATTTAGAATAGCCCCAAAAGTTCATAAGTGCAAGGTATTTCTGGAGGGCAGTAAGTAATATACCTTGACATCTAAAGTAGCTCACCAGCAATTTGTATTTACTTTGAATTACCATCTATCAAGATTATGCATAAAGATTGTGGAAAGAAAAGACTGGGAATATTTCCTCTGACATTTTCACTTAATAACAATAATAGAACTGACTCCTGGTTGCCATCATCCTTGCGTTGTTTCTGTACAGATTTAGAGGCCAGCTTTCATCAAATGCACATTCTGCACATATATGTGTTTTTATCTTCAAACTTGCTAAAAAATTTGATGATCGTATCCCACAGGTTACAGTTCCAAAACGTATCTGTGGGGTTTTTTTTCATAGTTGCCTGAGAAAACTGACATATTCACCTGTCATAATTCCAGTCTCATGCATTTAAGTAAAACAGTCTTAGCTACATACTACTACCCTGCCTATACAGTTGTCTGGGATAGAAAATGCCTCACTTGTATTTTCTGTAGCAGCTTGCAAAACGAGGCCTCACTTTTGGTTTTGATTTTCAAGCAAGACAGTAATATAATAGAAATGTTGCATGTTAATAGCTGATGTAAATTTGTATAAAACTTACTAAACTTGTGACTATGTTTTTATAGTTTTAAGACCAAATTGGCAGCTGCACTGGCAAGATATCGCATCAAACATGATGCTCCTTCAATTGAATATGTTCTGCCAGAAACCCTACGGAAGCAGCACCAAAGGGCTTCTGCTTTACCATTGTGTGTTTGGATAAACACATTTAAAATCAGGTAAGTTCCTTTAAGTATCATCTAATATTGATGTTTTTACATAGGAAGTGGTATAGTTTGCTACACACTTGTTCTAGAATTTCCAGGTTATATTTTACCAGTAATTTAAGTTTCTTACATTTAGATTCTGCTTGGTCCACTGACATTGCATAATGTTTCTTTGTAGTTTTTATACAGTGCAGTAATGGTATTCATGAAGTGTAACAAAGTTGTGAAACAGTTTTTCTTACTATTCTGTTGCTTACGTGGGTCTTTCACTAATTAAATCAGAAAATAAAGTTAGAAAATACTGTATGGGTGAGTAAACTCTGTGATGAAAAATAGAGAAAACTTCTTTAAAAGTGTATGTGTTACTGTAAGCAATAATCTTGGCTAAGGGTGTTAAGACAGATACAAAGCAAAATGTAGACTTGAAATAGAAAATACCTTTTAATAATCCTTATATTCAGTGGTTTACTATAAATGTAACTATATATGTTTCCAGTTCTGTAGTAACTAATAACATGAGCCATACCAGGTTATCCTGTTAACAGTTTTGTTAGACAGGTAATGCATAGATATGGTTTTCAAGAATTTCGTTTTCATACTCTTGTTTTGGACCAATGTTCTGTGCTTAGGTTACAGACTCTTCAAGGTAGAGAATGTATCTTACTCTGGTTGTGATTTTGCATCCCGTAAATAAGACTGAACTAAAAGCTACTGCATTAAATCTACATTTAATGTACCATATAAGCTTGTGGCACTGTCTGAAACTGCATGTCAGCAAACACATCTTGTTGTATATGCCTTTAAATCTTTATGATATTTGAATTGCAAACCTCAGCATTTTTGCCTTCATTACATGTACACAAAGATTATTTCAGTTATCAGCCATTAAATTCATGGCAAGCTTGGCTAAATTGAAAGCAATTGAAAGAATTTAAGTATTTCAGCATAAATTTGCCACAGTGTCTCCTGAACAGTGGACATGTTTTGATGCTTTGAATCATCCTCTGGAAGCACATACCTCTTTCTTAACTTATCATCAGACTTATTAACTTAATAGTTTCAAAACAGGATTTATATGCCTAAAATAGAGTGAATCCCCCTCTTGTATTAGGCAGTATTGCAGTTATGTGTGTATAGGTATATACACCCGCACTAGAAAAATACAAGGCAAAAATCCATCTAATTAGTGTGAACTGTATTGCTGAAATAACTCTTGTATATTTAATGGTCAGAGTTGTATGTTAACAGCCTTGAAGATGTTTTCAGAGATTTGAAGGAGAAAGGATTCACAAGAGTTGAGTCTGTGTCAGACTTGGACCGTTACACGTATGGTGTGGACCAGCATTGTGGTGATGTGTTGGTTTTTCCTTCCTCTTTTAAAGAAGAACTGCTTAATTTAGATCTTTTTGCAGATAGCAAACTCTTACTGCAGGTGAGTTGATGTCACCCTTGAATCATAGGATCTGCAAACTAATGTTTTACATTGGAATTAGGTTATATATTGTGTGCCTGTCCTATTACAGGCAGCAACATACTCATAGGGTTTTGGACATTTTTTATAATTAGGAGGCTAGAAACTTTCACTTACTAAATTTAGCATGGAAATGTTAATTATAATAATTATAGTAAGTATACTTATAATTGATAGCTACATTTGAGTTAGTGGAATGTTTTAAATTTAACCTTAAAAAATAAACCTCAAAAGTTGTCAAAGACGCAGTCTCACTGCTGAAAATGTGAGCAAATTTTCTGTGTAACTCTATGTGCATTACACCAGTTAGCAGCTAATGGTATGCCAACATTCTTTCTTCCTCTTCAATTGCTTATTTGTGATGGAATGATGACACCTGTTTGTATTTTGTGCAGCATGGTTCCTAAATCTCCATAAGTCCCATTGGTCTTTTCCCTGACTTGCCATCATTAGGCTCTCCAGGCAAGACTGGTCAGAGGTTCCTGTTGTAGAGTGGTGGTTTGGAGTAACAGTGCAACAACATGCAACCACAAATAATCTGAAGTGCCTTGATGATCTTGATTACCTAGCAGAAACATTTCAAAGGGTATTTTCACTTGAGGCTTAGCATTTTCTGGAAATTCCAGCCTCAAAATATATTACCCAACTTACAAAGTAATTCAGTATTCTGTTTCTATTGTGCATTTTGAATAGAAGATATACACACAGAAAAGAACTATATATGAGAGCCCCATAGGTCACAGGAACAAATTCTGCATATTACTGTTAAGAATATTCAAAGTGAGGTGAGTAGAATGGTATTTGAATGCTCTAAGTGAATATGTAGACGTGGATGTGAATGTAAAGGTTTAGTGCTCCCCCCTCCTCTGTTACCATCAGTGTTTGCCTAGTTTAGTGCTAAACATATCTTCATTCTTTGACTTTTAAAGTAATTTGATGGGCATAATGTTTGATTTATCTCTCTCTTCATCACCTGTAGTATGACATTGTTTACTCTTGTTGAGGTCCCTGTGTTTTCTGAATTCAGATCTGCCTCTGTGTTGTCCAGATTTCAGTAAAATTTTGGCCTTTGATCTGTAAAGACTCATTTCTTCCATAATTATCATCAAGAGCTATGTGAATGGTTTTGTATTTCTCTGTAAAGCTGCCTTTGAGGATGAACTCTGCATAATGTGGTCCCTCTCTCTTCTGGAGCTGGCTCTTGCTAGGGGTTCCTCCTTAAGGGGGTGATACACACATTCTTTTCACCTAGAGATATTATGCTTTTGTATGCATTAGTTAGAATTAGATTATTTAAATTTAGTACCTGACTTTATAAGAAGTTTGGGTTTATACTTTATTTAATCCTGTATTAGCAGCTATCTCTGATTAGTTTTTCTCCTGCCTTCTTTCCCATTTTTTCCCTTCTTTCCCATGAAAACAATGAAATACTTTCCTAATTTGGAAAAGAAGGTTGGCATCCACAGAAACCAAATTAATTGGTGATACTTGATTTTTGTGTCATCATTATTTTCCAGGATAAGTCTCGCAGCCTTGCTGTACACGCTGCACAGGCACAGCTGAATTCAGGTGATGACATTATAGTGGCTCATGTAGGCTCCCATCTGACCATTGCCCATTTGTCAGTGCTGACAAATCACAGCATGTCCACAGTCTTTGTTTGTGGTGTGAAATCTTCAGAAAAAGAAGCAGAACTGAGGAACTTTTTCAGCCACATGGAATGTAAAAGTAGGTTTTAAAAGAGTTGGCATACGTAAAGTATTTTAATATAGACATTTGTGATGCATATAAATATGGCATAATGTTATCAGAATTTGGAGATCCCTTGTTCAAGGATTTGGGGAGGGCAGTAAGAATTTATTTTTTGTCACAAGGTGAACTGACAGCTCTTCAGCTACAACTAAGTTAATCAAAGGTTGCAGATTAACCATGTCATAGGCTCCTGAAATACCAGGGTGAATTTGTCCATAGAAGTAGTCACTGTATAGCAGTTGCTGTAGGTGGTAGCTGGGAACTTTTGGGTCCGTTTTTTTGGTGTCTTGGCTGTTGCTTTCAGTCTGATATCCACCTGTTTGAGAGTGTTAATCCAAAACACATGAACTTGTCCAGGTTACCTGGATGACACAATCAGAATAAAATGCAGCCAGATTCTGGAATTCCATTAGCAGTCTTTTAAGTGGAAGATGCTAAGGTCTAGCTAGTCCTTCCATCTGTCTGAAATCAGTGAGGTATACTTAGCAGGATCTGGGTCTAGCAGCCTCTAGCTCTATGGAAGTCTGTGTAACACCACAGTCTGCTCACCTTTTGTTGCATTAAAATTAGGCAGCCTTGCTTGCGTGTAGAACTGTGGAGTTTTTCCTTTATTTTCAGATATTCAGCTGTTACATGAAGACTTCACGGAGATTGGACCAACAGACCCAAAACTTCAAAAGGCAAAAGTTATTTTGCTGCTACCACAGTGCTCTGGACTGGGGGCTGGCGACCCAATAGACTTTATTTTAAATGAGCATGGAGGTAACTTTTGATACAATAGCTAGCTCATGCTTTCTGGTAGCAATAGTATTCAAGTATTGTGGTCTGGACATCATATCTGCCTCAGTAAATTGTGTCATGTTACAAAAAAACCCTGTCTTTATTTAAATTATTATAAGACATATACATTAAATAACTTGGATAATTCTGTGTGTCTGCTTCAAGTTGACGGTACGAAGTTCGAGGGTTATTCTGGGAATCAGAGTGTATACAGCCTTTCTTTTAAAGTAAAAAGACTGTAGGCAGAAAACTTACTTCAAGATACCAATGTGTGTATGATTTTCCCTTGACTACATTCCTTTATTGACTGTTTGTATAAGTCTAGTCACTGTACAATTTTCATCAAATAGAAGCAAGAGGCACTAGTGATTACAGGTAAAGAGGGAAGGAAAAATCCCTTAGGCACTCCTTGGGATTGTTAATTTGTAAAAACTGCCTTTCCACTGCACCAGGAATAACCAGGTCTGTTACCAAAGCATTTTTTGCAAACAGATGAACTTAAGACACTAGTACAAGTTGCAATAATGAATTTACAACTCTTTGCATTTAGATGCAGAATTGCTAAAAGACCTTTTCCGGGGAACTGTAGCCAAGGATAAACTCAGTGCTCTTGCTGAAAGGCAGCTTAATGAGTTGATTCATGCAATGAAATGTAAGTGTGCCAGCTCTCCAATTTCTGGGAAGACCTTGTACTATCAATTCCATTGTGCTATCACCAGTTTTTCTATAGGTAAAAATACACTGATAACTCTATTAGTTAACAGTAAGTCTATAACTAAAACCCCTAAATGGTGATCTCCTCAAGTCTGAAGGTGTTTCTGTGGCCTAGTGCTCACCAGACATTAGTACAGAAATCTGTAGCATTGTGTAGAGAACTGGCTTACTGGCTTAGTCATACTCTGCTCTGAAAAGTTGTAAGTGTAGCCTGACTCCCCCACTGCATGCTGCCACTTTCTTTTCCCCTCCTTTGGTAGCTGTGTGAAAAACCTGGATGTTGCTTAGAATTTGTACTGAAATCTGCAAATATTTGAAAAGATTATTATTAAAACCCACTAGAAACTGAATACTGATGGGTGCGGGAGGATGTATTTTATGGGTAGAAGTGACATACAAGCATAAATTGTTGTGATGCTTTCAGTCCTCACTAAACCACCGTGTGTATGGAGAATTTGAACTGTGGAAAAATCTTGTTTGTTTTGTAGTTAAGGAAGTACAAGCTATTGTTTACTGCACTTGTTCAGTTTACCCAGAAGAAAATGAAGGAGTAGTGAAGAAAGCACTGGAATCTGAAGTGGAAGGAGATAAAATACAACCATATAGGTATGGAATGAGTTCTGTGTGTGGAAAATTACAGTATCACTTTAAATTGTAGGATAATTCTTATCCTAGACTTATCTGTCTTGCATAAGATTAACATTAAAAATAGTTTTTTGCTGCCTGTCATTCAATTCCTTTTGATGTTATGTGTGTACTGAAGTAGCATCCTTTTGACTTTTTCATGTAATCTATTTGTTCATCTGAAATCAAGATGGGAGAAGAGCATCACTAGTTGGAAATAACATTGTGGCAAGCTTCTGCCAAAGCTATTCCTTTGTCCTATCAGTATTCAGAGTATGAAGCTAGTTTAAGGTAAAATGGAGACTAGAAGTTGGGGAACTTGCTAACATGCTTTCAGCTTCTGACCCTGAATGATCAGTTTCAAAGGAAAAAGAAATGAAATCTTACAATATTCTTTGAGAATAACACAGAAAAATAAGAACCTCTGCTGTAGAAATGTTCATCCTTGTATTTCGACAAATGATATTTTTTTTGGGGGGGGGGGGGGTAGAGGGACCGACACACAACTGGTTACAGTAAGAGAACATCCTGTGCAACCATAACAAATACTAATATATATGAAAAAATGTGATGTATACTTTATATGGAGTTAAACCTGTGAGCTGCTACCCATCAGATGGAGCAGTTGTTAAAAGACTGATGGATACTGCCTGGATTTTCCTTTCAGTCATAGTAGATAAATACAAAACAGCTGGCACTTTCTTGCACATAGAGATAATAGTTGATTACAGCATGCAGGTTAAAAGAGTTTTATGTTGCCAAAAGTACAGGAGAGCAATACTATATATTTAGATTTTCTGTTATCTTAGCTGATGTTAATGATCTGGATATTGTAGGCAAAGCTTCTGTGGTTCAGTGTATCATTAAATGCAGTTACATTTCACATGATTAAAATGGTAAATGTTAGCTATGGCCAGTCCAGAGAATTTTAAAAAGAGGTACATTATGATGTGTGATGTTAAGATACAGTACAACCGCATGCACCTCTCTTCCAAATCACTGATAGGAAAGAGTAGCGTGTTTGAATTTTTATGCCAAATGGATGAAATCAGGGTATGTCTTGTCAATGATGCTACACTACCCCAAAAGCATTTATGGATTCTTGCTGTAAACTCTGTTTTCCTTTGGGATTTGAAATCTTGTCAAGTCTGTCATGTCTTGATCTATATGCAGCTACTATTTTATGGGACGAACTAGGGTGACCTTGGAACAGAATGGTCTCTCTATTATTTGAACACAAATAACACATAAATTCATGCTACATATAACAGTACGTGTATAAAAAAAAAAAAAAGGTTTTTTTCGCCGCCCCGGAGTTTTAATTTTTTTCAGAAAAATTTATGATGTCTAAAGACCTCACCTCCCCCAAAAGACAAACCAAACTCTAGCCTGTGTTTTGAAGAAACAGCATGAAACTTGTCAAACCACCAGATGATTCTTTAACCTTCAAATACAAGGCATTCTCAGATGGTAAGAAAGGGAGAAAAAAGCTACAGTAGGATTCTTGCAGACCTGAGCAGATTTGTGGCTGAAGACTCAATGATCTTCATAAGTAACAGTTCCAGATTTGGTTCCTCCTCCAGTGCCCTGCACGTAGCTTGGATGTTCTCATGAGTAATTCTTGCTACAATAAGGCTTCTGGTAACCAGCATAAACAGAGCAGTAACAAAACACCATAAATAAAATATATCATGTGATTATGCTTAAGATGAAAGCTCAAGCTGTTTAAGATGCATGTACTGCTTACGACAGTGCCCTGTACACCTTCCTTGGAATTAATTAGATAAATTATTTAACTAACAGCATGCAGGATAGAATTAAAAACTCGGTTGCAGGATTACGAACCCCTGTGTTAACAGTAGTGTCTTTGAGAGGCAAGTTATAAAACATCCTGTGTGGTCATCACAAAGTTACTTAATATCAATTTTCCAAGAAAGAGGAGAGCTTTCAGGAAACTCTTACACCAGTTGTGCTTGTTATGTCTTTTGGAATTACTCTGCTGAGCGCTGAACAAAGTGGTGTTGAACAAAACAAGGTTGTGCTGGAGTGGGGTCATATAGTTGGCCTTCAGGGTGTGAAATTGCAAAGGTAATTTCAGATGTACCCCCGTCTAAGCTGAGCTTACCTTAAGGATGTGGCAAGCAGTTTATAGCAAAGGCCTTACCTTATGAAAAGGTACACACTGCAAATGTGTGTGTAGAGGAGAATCTAAATCATTCATGCATTTCCCTTTGGTCTGTCCAATTTCTGCATCAATTTTCACGGTTAGACCATCTGCTAAAGGGATTCCTGGTAACAGTAATCTGTTTATGTCAATCTAAGTAAAGATCACCACTTTCTTGCATTGAATCACCTGATCTAAAAGCAAAAGTCTCCCGTGTGTCCTCAGACAGAGTTTTATTTAGTAATGCAAGAAGGATGTGAGCCTTGTAGTGTGTTTTATCAAGTTCTGAGGGACATAAGCAAAACCAGGTTACGGTGAAAACTTGAGAACAAACAGTTTTGAAGACTTCCCCTTAGAAATGGACAAGCCAGATGAGTCAGGGTATTGCTTACAAACACTGAATGTGTTTCTCTGAAACCACCTTTGAATAAAACCCTGTCTGAAGAGAATCGGAGCACCTGAGGGGCTGTATCTTACAGTCCTCAGCAGTGCAAAGAGGAAGAGGTAGTAATTGCATCAGGACATTTTGATAGCATCTTTCTGTACTGAAACAGCTTAGCTGCTTTACAGGCCAGGTCCTTGAGGCCTGTTTGTAACAGGTAGGGACTACTGGAATACAGGGGAAATATGAGAGAAAGCTAGTGCTTCCTTCCTTCCTCACAGATGCACTGCAAAACCCAGTTATTAAAAATAAGCAAGTTTTCCTCAGCTAAGATTTTTCGCTCAGGTAGTTCTGATAAGCATAGAGTTAATTCAGAGTTAACACCTCTAGAGTTTCTTGTGTACTGCTGTTTTCAGAGCATTTCCCAACTTCATGGACAACTTGATACTCCAGTAATTGCAGACCTGTGAAAGAACAAGCTTGTTAATTATGTTTGTACATATTTATTCTCTGGTGGTTAATAGTTATGGGAAAAAATTAAATGGGAACTACTGGAAAACATGGGAAAAAATATTCTAAAAAGATTAATTCTCATGTCTGTCTTGAATTGCAGTGTTTAAAAGTGAAGATAGGCAGCACAAGACTGTCATTGAAAGGCGTAATTTGGAAATCAGTTCTACTATATCGTTTATTTCCTTTTATAGCTTTCAATATTATTTTATGATCATTTGTTTATTTTTTACAGGCTTATTCCTCCTGGTTTTGACACTTGCTCTGATTCACATGCTTCCACTGAAACTTTTTTCAAAACAGAGCCATCAGAAATCTCCAGTGGCTGCTTTCTGGCTGTTCTGGCAAGAGAGGTAAGCTAAGAAAATTACCACCTAAAGACTTCACAGAAATAAAAAAACAGTGTCATTTTCCACAAATGAATATATGAAATTGAACATAAATAAATCCTGGCTGTTCTCTAGTTGTCTTAAGAATAGGCAAGCAATTGAAATGTGCCCACTTCCATGGAGTTTTATGCTGAGCACAGCTTTCCAATATGTGCCTTTTCCTTTGGAGGTGTTTGTGATCAGAGCAGTCTCCTGATCAGCGCTAGGAATACCTAGAGGCGAATGTATGGTTGCTGGTACACCTTGCAATGAAATAACCACCTTGATTAGACTCGTAATAAATGGTATCTAGCAAAGTTATTTGTTATGTCTGTATGTGTCACCAAGCTCTTCCAGTATCCAAGCAGACAGTGTCATTGCAGGGATAAAGACTTCGTTATAATTTGAATAACAGAGGTATGAATATGTTTCCTTCTAAAACTGAGGCATATGCAAATCTGGCTTGAAAGGTGGGGGGCTTTTGCTGAGTATATTTAAGTCTTGGCACATTTCCTGAGAAAAGGCCTTAAAGGGCTAGTCTACATCTCCAAGCATCACCATCTTCCTCTGGTGTCTGAGAAAAACAGGACTTTCTTTCACTGAAAGATGAAGGGGGGGTAATTAAATTTCATTGAAAATTAAAGATGTGAGATCCTATTTAGTTATTTGTACCAGTTCCTGTCATGCTGCAATTACAGTGCTTGAAAGAAGCATGTATCTTGGGGGAAATGAGAAGATTTTATTAAGAGAATCAGACATGAAAAGCCTTTTAAGTTACCTATTACTCACCTCTTTCTTTTCAATGAAAAATACTTTTTTGAACCTGGCTGAGCTACTAAGTTTTAGTTAATCATGCCATCTACCTCTGTCTACCAGACTGCCTCCCTCCCAATAAACACTTTTGTTTCAGGTAGCTAATTTGAGTAGGTTTTTAGTCAAATTCTAGTGCACAGAAGCAATTGCTCCTATGGACAATTTTTAGGTGATTCTGGAAACTAACGTTTTCTGCAAGGCAGAAAACATGTACTTAGAATTTAAACTGAAATTTCTGGTTTACAGTAACCCTCTTCTTAGCTAGTTGTAAATAGTTTCTTCCCCATTGCTCCTCTTTAGATACTTGGATGTTGACCTGGTTTCTAGTTAATCTACTTCAAGAGTTCCTTGCTTTTGTATTATGTGCAAGGTTTTTCATTATCATGAAAATTATTAATGTTTAATATTATTGGTAGTATTTCTGTATTTCATTAACTACTTCTGATACACACTTATATGTACATGCATGTTATTACAAACATGTCACAGATTAAGTCAATGTGGGAGACACATGTAGCATAAAGTCCAGAATTCAGTTTCCCCTCTTCAGGCCTGTAAAGGGTAGGGTCTCTGAAGAGCAACTGCTCAGACATCTCTTTACTCAACAGTCACATTCTTAATTTCCTGAATAAATAGTCTGGTTAGCATCTACCATGTGTGTCATCCTGCTAGGTTTCTCATGGAGTCTGCAGCTCTGTGTTGTGGCTTAGGTTCATTGTTTCCTTTGAATTTTGCAGAAAGATTCTTCTGAAAATCTGTCTGCTGAAGACATTTTGGGTCAGGCTGCAGCAAAAGGACTACTAGATGGCATTCTTGTAGGAAAACCAAAGAAAGGGGGAAAAAAGCAGAAAGTAACACAACTTGCACGTAATAATCTTGCTGGTGGTGTAAAGCTGAAGGTTGCAGAGCTCCTTCACCGTCAAACCGTATCTAATATTAAGGCTGAAGTTGCTGTGTCTAAAGCAGTCAGTAACGTACAACAGAAGAGTATGAGCCGAACGAAAAGCAGTGTTCAGCTGAAGAAATCCATCCGCCCCATTTCAGCCAGATCTCTGCCTAAAGTGCTGAAGCACACACGTCCATTGTCACCTGTGGGCAAGGCCTATGGCAGGCAGACTCCTGATAGAAAGGCACATGCAGAAGACAAGCGGGTTGTACTGAAGCCTGCAAAAATTATGTTTCCTCCAGTGACAATGCCATACCTAAGTTCACAAGGAAACAAAGCCGGGATATCAGCTCATCACTGCTTCCACTGCTGGAGTGGAGCAAAGGGTTTCCATGGCAGGATACTTCTACCACCTCTGTGTAAAACAGTCAGGCCAGCTGTGCTTCATCCTCGACCATGGATGTAGGAATCTTCACACATTGCCCTGCCTTTATACAGAAGGTAAAGATTCCTGTATGTATTAATCAATACGCTTAGATTACAGGATACCTTTATGCAGGATAATCTTGCTGTGGGAAGGATATATATTATGGGATATTTGCATAGAAATATCCCTGTTTGTTGTTTTAAAACCAGTAATTACACTTAAAAGTGAATGGAACTCAGCTGCGTAAGGCTGATAGACTGTTGGGGGGTGTAAGGTCAAAAAAGCTAGAGCTTCCTGCTATATACTTTAAAGTAGCAAGTCAAAACATACACACCACCCTCAGCTGCACAGATCTGTAGGAATACTCAATTTCAAATTGTTTTTTTAAAGTGAGACTGCATTTTTTAAGTGACTATTTCTCTTTACAAGTACTAGACACCATTTAGACTCTGACACATGGAAACTAAGCTTTGCATAGTGAGCCAGTTAGCTCAGCTTTAGTTCTAAAACTAGATGTGAACTTTGGTACAGGCAACTGGCGAAGTGCACTAAAGCCCATGCACAGGTCTTCTACTACTTACTCCCTTGGTGTCTACTCAGCTGTGCCCCAAAATCCTAACACTGAAAACTGGATAAAATATTCTCATGCTAAAAATATGGAATACTCATAATGTCATGTCAGACTATGTCATAGCTCATAACTGCTTTTCACAACTTAAGACAAGCATCTCTCAGTTGAAAAGAGCTGCTACTGTCCAAGCAAGTTATTTTTGTGTTCCTGCAATCCAGCTGAATAATGACAACACAGAGTGGCTTGTCTCTGGAAAGAGCTGTGAGCTTCTAACCCACTCCCTCTTGCTAGCAAATATAAAATACCTGTAAAGTATTCACAATTGTCTTGTAATCTGAGCAGAGGATAAACGGGATACTCAGAGATACTTTTAATTATAGTATGATTTCCTATTAAACAAGGACAGAATAAAGAAGGAAAATGACAATCAATGATGGAATGACAGTTAAGAGGAACCTCAGGAATTGTATTTAGAAGTGTGGAAATGAAACAAAGACAGCAGAGCAATATAGAAGGGCAGAAGTTGCTGTGGCCCAGAAATTTTCCTCTAGGCAATCATTTAAGATAGTTGACAGAAGTGCTGCCAGTAGTGTCAGCACTGTGGAATGGAATCTTAACCGATGTGACATACAAGTCTCGATTTATACCCATCCACAGAAAACATTTTAACATCTCTATATTTTTCTCCATCACCTACACCAGTCAATGTAGCAGGATCAGCTCTACCTTCAGAGGAAAGGATGTGAATGATACTATACCGGCAGTGTAACAGCTGCCTCTTGCTCCTCAGATGCATACCCTTGCATTGCTGAATCAGTGAAAATCTGTTCTACCATTTTGATTGGAGCCACCTGTCCTATTCAGAGGCATCCATCACCTGCTGCATATCCCTGTGAGTATACCTGTGCTCCTTACCCGTGTCAATAAAAGGAAGAGCCCTGCTCTTGTTTCCAACCAGCCAACTATCTTAGAGGAGGAGAGATTCTACATGTTGGACAAAAGGAATGGTCAGCAAGATTTTGGTTTATTTTTTCAATATGGTTGTTAAATGCTTAAAATATACTTAGAGATTCTGCACTTAGAGCACAAAACTTTTTGGATGTCAAAATCTGTATCATTCATTATCAAAAAGAATTAAAATTACTCATAAAAGAACATACATGTGTCTGATGACAGAATTTCTCGGATACTTACGTAACGCGTGTCGTGGCATCCCCCACCTGATCCCTTCTTGCTACCAGGAGTTTACGCCTTTGGAATGTCAGAGGCTGAACCTCTGAGTATCCTGATGTCTTGTCAAGAAGATCAGAGCAGGGCAGTGGAGATTTTGGCTCTGCAGGTCCACAGCTTGCTTTGCAAGCACTGAGTATCACACAGGGGCAATGTCTTGAGATGGCTTGTAGGCAGAAGCCTGTATGCTCAGTTGACTTTTGTCATCTGACTCGATGACTTTTTACAGTGAAACTGCACCTTACATCAGTAATATTCTGCAATCCAGTTGTTATTTTCAACTAGAAACTGTCGATTCAGTTTTCCAGAGACAAAAGTGTCCATTGCTCCACCACTGCCTCTAAACCACCGGTGTGTTTTTCCCTCCCCATAACCACAACTTAGAACCAGTAACAGCTGAGACCATTGTTTTATGCAGCTAAATTTATTCTCAGAACAGATTACATTTAGATGTGGAGAAGTGGTCAACAGCAGGGAAAATTGTCCTTTTTGCTGTCAGTCACGTGCTTTACATAAGACTGAGCTCTGCTCATAAACATGGGTGCATTTTCTTCTTTACTGCTGTTAAAATAAATCAAACCTGCTTTCACTGACTGTACAGCACAAGTTTTAGCGATGTATTGAACCTTCCCAAGACAGGAGTGCTGGGTTAATGGTAATGCTGAAAGGCTGAGCCCCTACTAGCTGCTGAAATAAGGAAGTTCTCTTTGCCATGGGTGACTTATGACAGTTTTAGATCCCTAGTTAAATGATTTATGAAATGCTTGATAAAATTAAAAGGGATGTAGAACTCTTAGTGACACAGAACTACTGGATATTTCCATTGGTTTTGGTCCTCTGTCACGGAGGGGCGTATTATTTCTGTGGGTACAGGTGGCTGCCCATCAGGTACATCACAAAACCCTCCTTCTACTGCAAGTGGAACCTGTGCCCTTTCATGCAAGTTTCTGCTATTCCCATTCCACCCTACTGTGGGTGGCCTCTGCAGCCTTACATCTCCCACATGCCCTTGCTCCCCTTCAAATGGTACAGTAAGTGGCTTAAATAAAACCTACAGCCAGCACTACGGATTTCAGAACGGCTTTTATCTCATAGTCGCTGACTGTGAATATAAATCTCCTTGCTTCTGCAAGTGAGCTCATCAATGACATGACTGATGTGATACTTACCTCTAACTTACTACTTGCACTGAAAAAAAAAGAAGGAATTAGCTTTGCTTTACATGATTTTTCTACAGACTTCAATAAAAATGTGACTACAAATAATTACAAAGCCTGCCTTTTTTAGGCAACCTATAGTATACAGAGTGGAGAATGTTACAAGAGCACGTCCAGTAAAGACAATACATCAACATAACAATGCAGGATATTTCAGTAAAAATAGAATAAATAAAATAAAAATATTTTAAGCTGTATTTAACAGGTTAATTTAGAATATGGCATCAGACATACAAGGCATAGTGAACACGGCTGCCGACCTACGGAACCACTAGGGATTATAAAAAATGCATAGATAACTGTAGGGTTGCTGCAACATTGACTGAACCAGTGGCAGTTGCTCAAACACACATCCCAGACAGGCTTTTTTGGCCATGGTAAAGACTGTTGTACTATATTGTTTGACAAAAGACAAGGGGTGTTGCAGTGTTAGGCTGGTTCTGCAAACATCTGGGTGTGTATTTAATCTTTTGGAGAATATGGAGTTCTACTGAAGCAAAAAGGCCACATACAGTCAGATGGTTAAGCATGCTACTGAAGTGTTGGCAAAATCAACAACATTTTCTTAACACAAACCTCAAAACATACACTGGCAGGTGACCTATGGCATTTCAAATCCCCTTCTGTCTTCTCTTCAGCCCTTCCTGCAATGGCACCCTTTGCCAGTGAAAGCGAATGGGATGGTGGTAGCCTTGATAACCCTGATGCAGAACTACCTCTATGCTACTCTTTGCTAAGTGTTGGTTTTGTTTAAAGAGAGTCCAGATCTCTCTTGGGGAGAATCAGCACGGTGCAGATACAACTACAAAGTTTAATTCTATGTTTTAAAATTCACTGGTGTAGAACAGTTGCGAATCCCAAATCCTGGCTGGAACTTTAAACAGACACTGTGAAATTATTTCCTGTAATTTAAAATGAACTGAAGCCAATGTCTGAATTACTAGCACAATGATAAATAAAGGAAGTTTTATCTCTCAACTTCTTGGTCCTACCTAGAGGTATGGTGTTTGCCACCACATCTGGATGTGCGGCATGACCACGTCTGGTCATGAGGGGAAGTGAGTTTTTACCCTGCTCCCAGCAGGCATCATTGGGATCAACAACTAGAAACTGAACAAGCATGTGTGTAAGCTGCCATCTCTACGCTTCACAATCTGGCTTTATGGTCAGTTTAACCTCTGGTACTGCTGAAGTGGGGTTGTTGGCATTCCCTCACCTCAGCTCTTCCTGCCTGGTGTATGCAGCAACTCCCCTAGCTGCACCAGCAGCAGAGCCAGTGTGGAGGGGGTGGCAGCAATGGGAGCCTTGGGAGGGAAAACAATTGCTTCAGTGCCCGGGGTGCAGAACTGTGCTCACAAGCAGAGAGACGGGTGGAGATCAGCTCTTCAGGGGGTGTTCTAGAGAGCTAAATTTAATTACAACAAACAGTTGCATAGCTAGCCTTAGCTGACACGGGCTCATACATCATGCTGAGCTTTGCTTAATGATTTTTCCGCATTGAAAAAATGCAGAAACTTCTCGAATCATCATTCTTTCCCCCTTTGTTGCTTTGCCCAGGTGTTGCCATTAGTTTTTTTAAACAAGGAACTAAAATGTTATTTTATATCAGTTTCTTGCATAGTAAAATAAAAACAATACAGCTCTTGTAATAACAACCTTGCCAATGTTCTTTTAAAATTAAATGACCAGATTTGCAGTCTGGAACATCTCTCTAGATGGAGGCAAAACAGTTTTAATGCTAGTTAAAAATATCTTTACTGTTCTATTTCCAAAATTTGCACTAATCTGCAGGTAGAGACAGAAGATGGCAAAGGGAGAGACTCAAGATGTCTGACTGCATTTGAACATCAGCCTGAGGTGCACTTTTGAGGGGGCAACACTGGGCTGGCTTTGTCAGGGCCTACGGAAGTGTGTAAGTCAAAGCAATTATAAGAAGCCTGTGGAGCAAAAGCATGAAATCAGGTTTGATGTTTATTTATGTTCCATCCCTGGCGGTGTTCAAGGCTGGGTTGAACAGAGCCTTGGGTGACATGGTTTAGTGTGAGGTGTCCCTGCCCATGGCAGGGGGGTTGGAACTGGATGATCTTAAGGTCCTTTCCAACCCTAACTATTCTATGATTCTATGTACCCCCTGAAGTGCTGTCCTGTTAGAAAAAACTCTCTTCTTATTTTGACATGAGAGTATTAAAAGAGATTTCATGGAATTCTGTAATTGACAAGAAACACGACTGACCTTTCTGGGGCATGTTCAGCATTCAGCAACAACCTCTGAGGGGAAGGGGGAACTGTGCAACCAGACGCTGAATTGAACATTTCATCAAACACTTGTACAGAAAAGGTCTGGAATAGTTTAGTCTCTGTAAGAGTTGTAAGACAATAAAATTACAGACTAGTCCTTTCTTACTCTTGGTTGGTTTGAGCCCTCTGTGAAACAAACGGTATTTGTGATGAATTAATGGCAGATTTAGGAGAATAAATTTAACAGCCAGCGGTTGCATTTGTATGTTTAAAGCTGAAAAGCTTCAGTAGATCACCCCGCAACTCGGTCACTGAAAACTCTTCTGGATTTTTCAGCATTGCTTTAGTATTAAGCACAATTCTTCTCTAAGACCATGATGTGTAACTGGGAGATGAAATAATGACACAATTCAGAAGCATGTCGGAGAGTTAATAAAGTGGTTGCTAGACCGATGCTGACAAACAATTTAAAACTAAGAGGTGTAGTTCTGTAAAAAATAAAACTTGGTATTTAATCTACAGTAATTCAATAGTAGCTAACACTTGGTACCTACTCCAGTGTTGAAAACAGAGCAAAGTGCTGTAGGAGTTAAGATTGGTTTGTGACAAATTCAGCTCAAGACGGTGAAACTAGCAACTTGGGCATCATTCACTCCAAGGACTTTAGCGTGAGTTCACTGGGAGGGACGTGGCCATATTCTTTTTTTTGTGTGAGTTTAGGTAACGTTCATATATTTACAATCAAACAGACCTTCCATTGTTCATGGTGTAACTCACTGACAGCAAAAAAATTATTCATGCTTCTTTTCATATCACACGATGGTGGCAAGAACGAGAACATGCTTGTCTAACATTGCTTCGATAAGGGTAAATTCTCTGAAGACAAAGCATCAGCAATTTGAAATGGAAGGCCAGACAATGTCAGTTCACTTTCCTTAGTATAGCTAGTGTTATCTTCAGTTAAGGGTTAGGAGGCTCTTCTCTCTGGTGCAGCTATGGCATCTCAGTGACCGGGCGTTTCTGTTTCAAAGTGTCAATGAGGGACAACACTCCTCGTTTTACGTTGGTTGTAACTCTTCTAGTCACGGAGTCTGCAGGAGGTGGGGGTGGTCGCACTTTCTGTGAGGGAGGTCTGGCTACTAAGCACTTCTGATACCGCAACTGCAACAAAGCAGAAGCATTCTGCAGTCCTTACTGCATCCAGTACTTTCACACACCTTTTAAAATACACTCCTAGTCCTTTCTCATTAAAAGTAGTCAAACCTCCATTCTGGTTGTGACAAACAGCCCAGCTGAAGTTAAAGAGACTCCTCTATCACTCTGGACAGAAACTGTTCTTCCCTCAAAAAAGAGTTTTCTGAGTTCAGCTATTCTTGAACAAGGATTATTTTCACTACATTGTCACTAGACTGTATAACACAACTACAAGTAAACTTAAAAATGTTTTGAGTTTTAACTGATTAAATATATCAGAATCCCAAATCCTATTTTTATCTTTCTGTCAATATAACTGCAAATTTGGAAAGCTGATTATTTATGGAGGCAGTGAAAAACCTAAGTCCTCTGAGGTGCCTTTGCGGAAGGTCACTTACCATACAAGCAGCCTGAACAGCTTCTGACACATTGCCTGCGTTTGGTTCACACCAGAAAACGTGGCACTCAAAATGCTGGTTTCCTGTATCCATAATGAAGGCAAATGTGTGAATGTCCTTGCCTACCCCCATGAAGGACAGGAACCGCACACGACACTCCACCATGATCTCCTCTTCATTCTGGTTATGAATAAAATGATTGATCATGACTATTGGATATTCTGTGCACTTTACTGTCAGCCTTATGTCAATTAAACGATCGGGGGGGGAACACTCCTTTTTATCTGTCTGTATGCACCCAGCGTGCCCAGGCCTGGGATGGATCTCCTCTTCTACTACTGGAGGACCAAGGCTTTGAGCGTTAGCACTGAGCACACTGTGTACTTTAAAATCTGCTTGTTTTGTAAAGAAACAAAACAACATGGCTACCATGACTCCAAAAGATGCTCACCTACCACTGCTATGTTAGAGGTGTTGGTTTAGTACCTCATCAACAGACATAAATAAAGTTGGAAGTTTAACTGTATTCATCTCAATGGAAAATGCTCTACAAAGGACAGTGACATGAAACACAGATTCTAATATTAACTCTTGGCTCCCATATCAAGAATAATGTAAATACAGTTTAGAATTTAGGATTGCTTACTTAGGGCTTAACCCTCAGCATTTTAGGCTCAAAATTCCTAGAAAGCGTAACACTGAATTTAAGTATCTAATAAATACTTATAATATTTTATTTCTGAGAACATGCTTGGAATGGCAAACCAAGCTGAAGCTGATCAAAGCAGTAAGAGCCTCTGCAGGTTCTGGAAAGAAATAAAATGCCAAATAAGCAAATAAATTCTAGCATAAGTTAACTCCCTCTACTAGTGTTCCTGTGTTCCTTGTTTTCAACACTCATATTATTATGTTAACTGAGTTTTGAACAAGCCAGTCTGCCTTACTCTTTCATTGATGACTGTGACAGTAGCATCAGCAACATTCATAGTAACTGGCATCCAATCTTCTTTGCTAGAGGAAGTCATTAGACTTTCGATGGCATTGTTCAGAGTATCCATTCCTAGAAGAGAAGAAAATGAAATAGTAAAAAATAAATGCATAAGTAAGCAACAACGTTTTTATTTTCATCGTAGTACAGAAATCACTGTTTTGGACTCCTTACTAAACTTAATTTGATAGTGGAGAGAAGGGTTGTGAAGTTGGCTTTCTTAATCTGCAAAAAACAAAACAGGTGCCTCTGGCTTAGTTAAAAACAGGGTAGCAACATGTTTAGCTGCTGCACAGTTCCAGTTCTCTAAGGCCCTTCTCATTAGTAGCAGAGAAATCAGTAGAAAGGAACTCTGCCTTCTCTGCAACTCCCAAAATACTCTAGTTGCAAAATACATGTTCAAGTGAGGGCCTGAATGTGACCTGTATGGCTGAAACACAAGAGTTGCTACCCTTCAAAACCAGGTATTTAGACTTGGTTAGCCAGAGTCCAGCCACTGCAATTACTAAGTAATATGCGAGGTACTTTGGAATTCACTCAAGTGCCACCTACCCACAGGTTTAGCTACAGGCAGCATGCCCAGGTACTGAACGTGGAACTTCTGTACCAGTTCTGTCTTTGGTGTTGGGAAATCTACTGCATGGGAACAAAAACCAATTTCTGTTAATCAGCATTCACAGCAGGGAAAACCACTTTTATTTCATCAATAACATGAAACAGTTTACCCAGTAATTGTGCTCTGAAGATATTGCATTGATTGAAACTATTTTTTATGCTTTCTGACAAGAACAATGGTCAATAATTTCTAAAGGAATTATGGATAACTTTGCACCACCTAATTCTTGACCTACCCTAAGAACAAGGTCATGTTATATTGCTGGCATATTAAAAACCAGAAAATATAGACGAATGGATCTCTGAGACAAACAGACTTGAGATTCACTGCATAACCATGTAAAATCTGGAAAGTATTTTAAATGCTATCCTTGTTAATATGTTAAACACAGTCCTCGAGTAGTCAATACTGAGCAGACAGTTACACAAGCTGATGTATGGATTAGGAGTAAGATATTCAGTATAAACTGGTGGATCCAGAAGCATGTAATTTCCTGCAAAGCTAACACAAAATGTGTTTGTTCTCCTGGAATACTTTCAAAATAGCAACTATTAAGCAATGACTAATAAAGGCTTGCAAAAGGAACTTCCTTTGGCCATGCAGTAGAGTATGCAAAACCCCTTAAGGTGGATGATAACCCACTTGCACCCCTTGCCTTGGAAACTGCTAAAACAGATGCTGAAACCTAGGACTGCTCCTACATTTCCCCTGAATCCAAGTGATTAACTGGAGCATACTGTGTTTTTAAGAAAGACTTGGCCAATCTGTGCAGTCTCAAGTCAGGAGGTATTTTGATTTGAAAAGGACAGTATGTGCAAATAGCCACAAACAAGTAAGGCTGCATTTGCCACATTTGTGTTTGAAAATAAGAGGAAACGTACAAGCTGACATAACTGAGCAGGACTCCATTCCTGCCGACACAGATAATAAAAATGCTTAATATCAACGTAAGAGGTTACAGTCAGATGCAGTAATTAAAAGAGAGGATTACACTCCAGACTTCTGCACTCAACATGCCCCATTTTGGTCAAAAGCAGCCTCAGAAACTAAACACATCTAATCCAGGACCACCTGGAGGATACGAGCTGTAACACACAATACCTTGCAGAGGAACATCAAGGTTGACATTTGTCCCCCCTTGCAATGAACCGCAAGCCATAGCTTTAGCATTCTTCCGTTCGGCCATAATCTGAAGGTGACAGTGATAATACAGAATTCATTATTTTTTTAACATAGTTCAGTAGCAACTACAAGTATAAATTTACTCCTATTTCAAGCTTAGTTTGTGAAATCTGAAGTCAGTAGCTACATGACTAAACAGGTTATTCTTTTTGAATAACAACTTTAATTTTCTTCCAGTTTATTAACCGTTCCTTAACTGTAGTAAGAATGTAAGTGGTGTCCAAGCCTAGATGAAAGATTGATGGAGAAGGAAAAAAACCTCCAGCCATTTTTATCAACAGCACAAGTGTAATGAGGAGCAATATAGCAAGAAATATAAATATTTAACACACAAGAAGAGTGTTCATTATTCATGTTCCTCTCTGATCTAATGTTCTAATTTCTTCCTGCATTTTTGTTTTCTTTTGCAATTAAAAATCCCATGCGAATACAACCTCTTCTTCCCCCAAAATGTAGAATATTAGCAAAAAAGAAAAAAATACACCAATGAAACACTTCAAAATAACCACTTTGGATGATTAACTCTCCAAAGATACATGTTTGAGAAGGGACCCACGGAGGCTAACAGAGGTTCTCCAAAGCTCATATATGAAGCATTGCTGTGCACTTCTTTATGCTATAATTGCTAACAGTAATTAACTAGAAAGATAACTGGTGCTCCAGCAGGTGTCACTTGGTCTGAAGATGCTCCTAGTAAATTCTGCCGGGGCCCCTTTTTTTTTTCTTTTAGGTTTCATATTTTGAATGTATTTTCTGTTTCAGGGACAGATGAAAAACGACACACACTAGCTTAGGAACGAGCCCTGACTGAGCCAAGAGGACCAGTGTGCCATTTAGCACATGCCAAGTGCTTCCCTGAATCAGGATTATATCTACTGCTGAATTATGAAGGAACATGCTCTACTTAACAACAGTATCCTGTTTTATCTGTGTTACTTTAGTTATGGTTTTAAATGCTTACTTACTCTCTAATCCAAAATTAATGCCAGGAATTTCATGTCATAGTTACATATATGTCACAACTCTACTCCCCTTTCGACACCCCTGTGTATAGCTACCACAGCATCTATTTGGTGTTGACCTTAACTGGGTAAGAGCAGCTGTGATACGACCTGTGTAGCGTGTTTTATCTTTGCTGGAAACGTGTGAGAATTGAAAGCTGCAGGAGAAAAAGGATGGACATAACAGGTCTAGGCCTCTCCAGCCAGCCACTGCTGCAGCCCCTGATATTAACCTTCACCAGGCACAGCCTGTAGCTCCTTGGCCAACCTGAGGAGCTACCTTTGTCCTGCCACCTGCATCTCTTCAGACACCCAAGCCTGGGCAAACCTGACAGGCTCTGCACAGTTGTTGGACCACCTGCCCAGGATGTTACAGGAGTGCACAGAGTAAATGCTCACATTGTTCTCATGAAGCATTGCAAGTTCAATAGCCTCGGCTGCAGCACTGCAAAAACATTTACACAATACAACTGTCTACAAAGAGGAATTTGACATAGAATCACAGAATAGTTAGGGTTGGAAAGGACCTTAAGATCATCAAGTTCCTACATCACTGATTCTGTTCACTACCATGAAGTCAAAACTTAAACAGCAAATGACAGGCATAAAGTAAATGAGCAGAATGTTAAACCCCAAAGGTTTCCTAATACGCTTCTTAAAAAGAGCTGTGACTCATGAGGAGGCAGAAGTCACACCGGGATAACTGATAAGGTTATTCAGCCCCACAGCCTACTTCTGGAATGCACACTGACGTGTTTGCAGGGAAACCAAAATGAGCAGCATAGTATTTTTTTAAAAAAGGAATGAAGCCACAAATCCACCACAGCTCAATAAATGAATAAAAAAAGAGTTTAAAGTAGGTTGGTTTAACTGCCTCTCTGTAAAGAGTTTCAATCAGATTTGCCTGCTGTAAAGGACCTGCTGCATTGCTACAGCTGCATGAAATGATCGTGCAGAGGGCACTCATGAACTGATCATGCAAGAAGATCAAAATTAATACCCAGCAAATAGTGGCAAATCTGTAAGATAAAAATGACTGAAGAGAACTGTCCTCTCCAGCATTACAGACAACACTACCACAAGCAGGAATAAAGATACTTTAGTATTTGTAACTAGAGGACATTTAACCCACTCTTCTCCCCTCTCCCCCCTTTTTTAAGCGAACATATGTTAGCAACTGTTTTCCTGTCTCTCCTGCAGGATGATACCACTGAATAATAGCATTCAAACAAGGCCTGATTTATTTACAGAGTTTAACATCACCATTTATTATTAATTGAAACTGTGTGTTCCTTTTCCATTTCCAGTCCACAGCTTCTTTATTATTCAAGAAAACCTTCAGTCTCTATACACATGTCAACGCAAAAGCACCTCGTATGTTTCTCAAATCTCAATACTCTTCCCTCCCCATTATTCCAGCCATTCATGTCCTTCCCTTTACAAATTCTCTATCCTGTTTCTTGTTGCCATTGACATAAACTAAACTAACAATGTGTAAAATTGCTGATTTAGGCTCAGTGACCTCTAAACAGAGGAATGCATATGACTTTAAATCCACTTGCCTTGGAGCAGATTTCATGTAAACTTGTGGCGATGGCTTTTGCCGGTGTGTCACATCGAAACACATGACATTTCAGAATCCTTGTGTCTTTGTCTCTTGCCACATAAGCAAAGTCTCTGTGTAAACAAGATAAACAGACACATTAGAAACAATAAAAACAAATTAAGGCATTAGGATCAGTAGTATCTTCAAACCAGCAAGTCCTACTTTCATTTAACAGTAGGCTGTCAAAGAATAAAACCCATGCTTTTGACAAAGGAGATCCACAAATGTAGTAAGTGCATACCCATGAAACATGTATCTGAAGTCTGATGCTTAGCCTGTATCATGACAGAGCTCATTATAGTTTCCTAACCTGTGTAACTGCCAACCCATAATTCCAACTGCAATTGGAAATACACGGAAAAAATTACTCAGATATTTTACTGAAGATTAAGTGGAGAAGAGAATTACAAATTGAGGAAGTGTGGTCTGGATGATCGGGTAGTGAGGTGGACTGTGAACTGGCTGAAGGAGAGAAGCCAGAGAGTTGTAGTCTATGGGGCGGAGTCTAGTTGGAGGCCTGTATCTAGTGGAGTGCCTCAAGGGTCGGTACTGGGACCAGTATTATTTAATATATTCATTAACGATTTAGATGAGGGAATTGAGTGTACTATCAGCAAGTTTGCTGATGACACTAAGCTGGGAGGGGTGGCCGACACGCCAGAAGGCTGTGCTGCCATCCAGAGGGACCTGGACAGGCTGGAGAGCTGGGCGGGGAATAACTTGATGAAATATAACAAGGGAAAGTGTAGAGTCCTGCATCTGGGCAGGAACAACCCCAGGTTCCAGTATAGGCTGGGGAACGACCTGTTAGAGAGCAGTGTAGGGGAGAGGGACCTGGGGGTCCTGGTGGACGACAGGGTGACCATGAGCCGACACTGTGCCCTTGTGGCCAAGAAGGCCAATGGCATCCTGGGGTGTATTAGAAGGGGGGTGGTTAGTAGGTCGAGAGAGGTCCTCCTTCCCCTCTACTCTGCCCTGGTGAGACCTCATCTGGAATATTGTGTCCAGTTCTGGGGCCCTCAGTTTAAAAAGGACAGGGACCTGCTGGAGAGAGTCCAGCGCAGGGCAACTAAGATGATTAAGGGAGTGGAGCATCTCCCTTATGAGGAAAGACTGAGGGAGCTGGGTCTCTATAGTTTGGAGAAGAGGAGATTGAGGGGTGACCTTATTAGTGTATATAAATATATAAAGGGGGAGTGTCACGAGGATGGAGCCAGGCTCTTCTCAGTGGCAAACAATGAAAGGACAAGGGGTAATGGATACAAATTGGAGCACAAGAGGTTCCACTTAAACCTGAGAAGAAACTTCTTCTCAGTGAGGGTAACGGAACACTGGAACAGGCTGCCCAGGGAGGTTGTGGAATCTCCTTCTTTGGAGACATTCAAGACCCGCCTGGACACGTTCCTGTGTAACCTTATCTAGGTGTTCCTGCTCCGGCAGGGGGATTGGACTAGATGATCTTTTGAGGTCCCTTCCAATCTCTAACCTACTGTGATACTGTGAAATTAAGCCAGAAAACGCATGCAGCTCTTCACTGCTAAAACCCCTGAGAAACAGCATACAAGTAGTTCAAAGGACTATATAAAGTGTTTAAAACATGCAGATAGTTAATTAGAGATGGGGCTGCGTAAGGGAAACGTGAACCTGCTGAGCTCTGCTCACACTAATTGGCCCAAATTTCTGACCTTATTTTTTCAAAAGTTAAATAAAGCTTACCTATAAAAGAGATTTTTGCCCTGCACTGGCTGGTCACCACAGCATAGCACAGCTTTCCAGCATGAGCAATGGAAGTGCCAGGATTATGGTTATTTGTCCCCAGGCTATTTAGAGTTGGAGCTCTTTTGACAAAGCCCAACTGGTATATATGGAGTCAGGAATAAGCCTGGCTTTGCCTGGTTGCCATTCTTGCTATAGCAGACTCTCCTCCCTGGCCTTGATCCTCTCTTTCATGTCCTCTGAGCAACCATAGCCCAGTCCTACTTTAAGACCTTTCTGCTGTCTCCAGATATCTCTGGGACTCTGCACGCCTAGCAGAGCTAACTGAGTAGCTAACTAGAATTGGACCAGAGAAGAGAGGCTGGAGATCCCAACAACCCCTTATACCTGAAGTCTCCTTTCAGTGCCTTTTCTCTTTATACATAAATAATCAGCAGCAACATTCTAACTGGTGAGGAGATAGGCCGATATTCTTAAACCACAGGTTTTATATATAGGAATACTTCAGTTTATACTAAAGTCTGTTAATATCCTGAGCAGGGTTTAATGTAGCATGGACTGCCAATTTCTTTGTTCATCATAGATGCCCAATGAATCGAAGAATTTTCTCCTGAAGTTATCCAGGGAGAACCAGACACTTTGGCAGATGGGTAGCCAGACTTCCAGCTCTGTATGAGATATGAATATTGTCCTGCAGTTCAGTACCTTGTACCTAATTCAGCAGCCCTAGGTCTTGTCATTAATGAGCCTTGCAATGAAAAGGGCAGTTGCCTGCAGCCCAGGCTCCTCAGTGACAGGCACAGGTTGTTCCTCTGTTTAACTGCTTTGCAACCTGGTGAATAATACTGGTGAATAATAGCCTGGTGAATAATACTTTAAAATACACCCACAAAACTATCAGGAGCTGAGATTGGGAAACAATTCCACATGACAGAACCATGCAGAAACACAGCGAAGCACACCCCAAGCACCTCAGCCACAATCTGTAAGAGCCTTTTGGCATGTTGTTCCCTTTTTCTGCACTGGAATTTCAAGAGATGCTGAGTTCCAGCTGGAATCTTGCTCCTGGAAAAAAGATGATGCTTTCTGGCTCACCTGTACATGTGCCAAGCCTTGCTTTAGGAAGGGTTTCTCCTATCTTAATGCTTCAAAAGCAAATTGCAGACTCCCACCTAGATTCTAGTAATAAGACTAAGAGAAGGGGGCATGGCTCAGCTATGACCTATGAAAAATTAGCACTTATGGGGAAAATAGCAAACCCAAGAACCACATGAAAAACCTTCGTGATCTCTGCCTTTTGAAGTAGACACTCAATATTGCTGATGCTCCTGAAAGACCTGAGAGCAGGTTTTTGGAAATGCCAGGCTCATGAAAGTCCCACATACAATATCCTGAGCTCTGAAGAGACCTTGCCTGGTTTGAGAGCTGTGAGAGATTTCCAGACATTCTAAGCATGCAGGAGTTCTGTTTTCTCTGTGTTTGGGTTTAGCTGCCACCTTTGAAATGCTCTAAGTTTCAGACTTCACATTTTGGAGTCTAAATGCCTTTGCTTACAAATATTTTAACTGCAATATGAAAACACAGTTCATTTAACAGACACAGATTTGGTACCACAGCTTCATCAAGATTTCTCCCTTCTCCTTTACATGCAAGAAAAACTTGCTCACTGTCAAAGGGCAAATACTGCCCACAAAGATGTTTAGTCAAAATGCAGTGCGCTGATTTTCTGACAGAGCTGGTAGCAGCCCTACAGGCCACCTATATGCCTATATAGCCTATAGGCCACCTAATTCTCTCCTCCACACACTGTTCCATAACTATTTTTTTTAACGGTTTGGGTGGGAAGGGACCTTTAAAGACCATTCAGTGCAAGCCCTCTGCACTGGGCAAGTACATCTTCCACTAAATCAGGTTGCTCAGAGCCTTGTCCAACATAACCTTAAATGTTTCCATGGATGGGGCATTCACAACTTGTGTGCAACCTGTTCCAGCATTCCACCACCTTCACAGTAAAAAATTCCTTCCTTGTACCTAGTCTGAATCTACCCTCCTTTAGTTTAAAACCATTAGCCCTTGTCCTTTCACAACAGGTCCTGCTAAAAAATGTGTCCCCATCTTTCTTATAAGCCCCTTGAGGTACTGCAAGGCTGCAGTAAGGTCTTCCCGGAGCCTTCTGCAGGCTGAACAAGGCCACTTCTCTCAGCCTTTACTCACAGGAGAGGTGCTCTATCCCTCTGAGCACATTCATGGCATCCTCTGAACTCGCTCAAGCAGGTCCATGTCCATCTTGTGTTGGGGGCCCCAGAACTGAACACAGTAGTGCAGGTGGGCTGTCACAAGAGCAGAACAGAGCAGCAGGATCACCTCCCTTGACCTGCTGGTCATACTCCTTTCAATGCAGCCCAGGACAGGGTTGGCGTTTTGGGCTGTTGAGAGCCCACTGACAGGTCATGTCCAGCTTTTCATCCACCAGTGTGAGAGGCAGACACCAGTAGTGCCCTCAAGTCCTTCTCTGCAGGGCTGCTCTCAATGCCCTCATCCCCAGCCGGATACCGGGCAGTTCTTCTTGAAGAAACACTGATAACTACTGCTTGTAGCAAGTCTGTGGGTGTGTGGCCTGGGAAGCCCCCAGTAATGCACAAGATGTCTCATTTCTGTCCTGTGAAATTCCACTTGTGCTGAAGCACCTTGAAGAAGTGCCAAAACCACCACTTCCTTCCTGTGAGGGGGTTGGAGGGTGCCAGGAAGGTGCTACCAGGGGCACCTGGCCTATGCCTGGGCTCAGCAAGTGCTGCCCCAGTACTGCTGTGGTGCAGGTAACACGAAGTCAGCCTCTCCACACTTGGCACTGCTTGTAATGGTATGCATTCATAAACAAGGCAGTATGGCACAATTACAGGAGAACACAAAACACCAGATAGTACATGAGTTTCAACTACTGAAAGCTAGTAAAAGTGTGGTAGTGCTTCAGACTCACACCAGTGTTTCATCTTATAAGTAACTGAACAGCTTGGAAGAATAAATCAGCTAATTACAGGCGTGGATTGTGAACATACATAAACCTTTAGACGATAGGGCCTGCGTCTGTAAATCTGCCAAGACAGAGTTGGAAATCTGAGTTCTTCAAAACCTGTGGTACTGCATCATACATAACCCTGCCCACACCAGCTGTATTCAAATCATCAATCAAAATTAGCATACAAACCATCCTTCTCCCTTCTGACAGCACACAAACAGTGATACTGATTGATGATACTTTGTTGGAGAAAAAAGCTGTATACTCTTAAAACTTTATAACACCAGTTCTGTTGATACAGGATTACAGAGAAGAGGTACTGCACAGTAGGTTGTTGGT